CACCCCTGCAGTAAGCCAGCCATGTCGAGCGAGTTTAGAATGCAGGCTCTCGCTGTCTCTAGCTGAGATGAGATTTAGAGCAGGAGAAAAAGGGCTCAGGTTTCAAATGGGGAAAGCACCTGGGGCTCTGGAAAACCCATTCTAAGAGAGGAACTCCCTGATGATGGGGGGATTTGAGTATGTCTGTGTGCATGTGTATCTTTGCCTTTCCTTTTAAAGTTTCAGAAGGTCAAACTGTACAACTTCCAACCAAAAGTCATCTATTATTGCAGTTAAAGAAGATATAGGACAGAATAAGAAAGCATTTTAATGATGAAAAACTGAAATCTGACTTTGTTTACAAACTTTAGTATTTTAACAAGTATCACTCAATTTTGTGACATTGTTGTGATCTATTCTGAATCTCACATAAGAGTTCTCAAGAGACCTCTAAACTAACATCTGGATCCAAATACCTAACCTTTAAGTAACATTTCTTGTAATGCACCATCAGCACCAAGATGAGCTGCATCAGATCCTCATGTTTATTTGCAACTGACAAGCAGCTCTCTTTAAAAGAATGTCAGTCAGGGAACAGCCATCATTTCAGGACAGGGAGATAAACAGCTGCTCAAGCACTATTACTGACAACAGATCACATGTTCAAACATCTGAAAACAAATCGGTAACTATTCAGGAGGCAGGGAGAAAAAAACAAGAAATGATCTCTGTGTCTATTATAACATTATAACTGAGTTCATGTCACTCAAAACCTGTACAGGCTTCAAACTCTCAGTCTTTTGCCCTTTTGGACAGCATTTTTTTTTCTAGGTGATGTCTAAATTACAATGATTAACTATTGAAACTTCTGAAATTTCTTAACTAGAATATGATGAAATCAATTTAGCAACTTGGATGGATCAAATTGCAGTCCCACTTTGTCTTTAGTCACAAAAACTTCCTCCAAAATGTTTACAGAGGTAGTCAGAGGATAAATGTGACCCTGGACCACAAAACCAGTCTTAAGTCACTGGGGTATATTTGTAGCAATAGCCAAAAATACATTGTATGGGTCAAAATTATAGATTTTTCTTTTATGCCAAAAATCATTAGGATATTAAGTAATGATCATGTTCCATGAAGATATTTTGTAAATTTCCTACTGTAAATATATGAAAACTTATTTTTTGATTATAATTAGTAATATGCATTGCTACGAACTTCATTTGGACAACTTTAAAGACGATTTTCTCAATATTTAGATGTTTTTGCACCCTCAGATTCCAGATTTTCAAATAGTTGTATCTCGGCCAAATATTGTCCTATCCTAACAAACCATACATCAATGCAAAGCTTATTTATTCAGCTTTCATGTGATTTATAAATCTCAATTTCGAGATTGAGAAAATTGACCCTTATGACTCGTTTTGTGGTCAAGGGTCACAAATATTTGATTTGTATATGGCGTTTCACATAGTGCTTGACCCTGAGTTATCATCAGTCTAAACCCCACTTTTAACCCCGGGGAAAGGTATGTTTCATACTTGTAATTTAGAAGCAGGGAATCCCTGTGTTATGAAAGCAGTGTTTTTGCTGTTAACCCCGCATTTCTGTGCCAAATGTGTATAGTGCGAAATGGGCATTAGAATGTTACAGCTACATGCTTAGCAACCGATAATCAATCACATGCTGCATATTCACATGCTTTGATCAGGCACGGAAACGTTGTATAAACAGTTTTTTCAGCATTTGAGAGTAAAAATGTTAAATGATGGCAGAAAATGCATCAATTTGAGTAAAGAAGAGACAGTTTCATTTTTACCTTTATAGTCAGAAATGTCCATTCTGTAAAACTTGATAATGCTGTTGGCAATATATACTTTACATTAAAATGTATCTCACAGAAAGAGAATGTAAAGCTTGATAATACTGTCGCCAATATATATAATAAGAGGATACGGAATGCTAGAGCCATTAAGTAAACATGTTGCATGCCGTGTTCATCCAATCAATGACACTGACACCCCAAATATGCAATTAAGAATGTTAACCCATGGTTTAGGAATGTACAGTGTGAAATATCAGCTTATGAATACCTAGGATAAACTGTTAACCCTGGGTAAAGTATGAGCAGTTTGAAACGTGAAGCAAGATAACCCAGGATTTTGTTTACCTGGGGTTTAGAATGAGCCAGGATTAACTATTTCAGGTGTGAAAAGCCCTTATGAGATCCAAAACGTAGCCTGTACAACACAAAGTCACGTAACCTTCTCAGAGAAAAGTAGTCCTATCCAAATAGGGCTTTTGAAGGATGCTATTTTTGTGTGTGAATTCATGATATAGTGTATACACTGCAGATCAAGGGCAGAGCAAGTACAAAAAGAGTATAAAAAGGTTTTAGAGTCCAACACAAGAGTGAGAGCTTCAATATTACTCGTCTGACCTATTTGGATCAAACACTCAAGCTCTCATTTATGTTAAGTCTACATGAGAGAAGCATAACAGGAAATTCTAATAAGGAAGTTGATGTGTAGTCTAAACCAATGCAAACTGACTCTCTCATCCCACCATACAGTACCAGAGTGCTGAGAGGAAACAGAACTCGTAACCTTATATCATTGTCATTTTTCATTTACGCACAGCTCAGTAAAAGCATTGTCATAAAACGGATTGTTACTGTGGTTTGAGGTCTCACCAAAAGCACTTAAAGTTATTGTTAATAAAAATTTTTACAGCGTTTCTGTGTAAAAGCACAAAGCAGCGTGTAATCCCCTGAAATGTTTATTTGCAGCGAGATGGACGTAACTTAAGGAGGAAGTCAAAATCTCGCTGGTGACATTATTGCGATTCTTTCATGATGTTAGTGTAAATGTTCTACCAAATAACAGTCAACGGCCAGGAATTCGAGGCTTGTACTGACCTGCTAGAATACCTTGGTAGTTTTGCAATTTTGTCTTATTGTACTTTATGTTTTATTGCTTTTAGATACAGAATGAACAGGCTCCATCGTCTGAGAGAGTGAAAATTTAGTTATTTCTATAATTGACCCTCTTAGAATCTCTCAGGAAAAATAGATACCAGGACAAACAAAAGAGAAAATATAAAAAATTTACTCTGTAGGTTGGATGAGTTGTACTTTCCCAAGGCGAAGGATGACAGGCCCTCTCGGGTTTCGGATCTTCTTGACCTCGCTGTTCTTCAACAGGGAGAAACGGCGCACCAGATTGAAACCTGCAGATCGGGCAATCAATCCATTTACCAGCCCACAGGATAATAAATCAGTGAGCTGCTAGTTGACATGTCCTATGCTGTGTATCAACTCTGCTGTGCCAGTTTTCAATTCATGTAAGGCCAAAGAAGGGACCTTAACTTAACACTGGGAGCATTTATATCTTTCAGCTCATGAACAGAGTCTGTTCCTTAGACTGACTTGATGGGCAGTTGGGCTTTTATTAAGTGTATTAAAAGGCTTAAACTATTACAGATGGCAGTATATTCACATAATTATGTAGAGTGAGCTTCTTTCCCATTTTTTGGATATGCAAAATAACGAGGCACTTTGGTGTTTGTGTTTTGCACTCAAAGTTGAAGAAAATAGAAGCCAGCAATGGTCAAATTAAGAAATAATTCTATAGCACAAATTTAGAATATGATTTCTGAAGGATCATGTGACACTGAAGACTGGAGTAATGGCTTCTGAAAATTCAGCCTTAATATCACGAATCATGGAGCCCCTAAGGGGGCATGATGATGCAAAATAAAATGAGATGGAAGAAAATTTTGTATTTTAGTGCTTGTGTGCACCCTTGAGAAACTGTGTACACTTTAAAACTTTTGTGATGACAATAATATGAGGTGGGAAGAAAAACCTGAGAAAATGAAAAATTTTCCTACTATCTCGTTTTTTTTCATCACCATGTCTCCCTTAGAGCCTCCGTAAAAAAATAAATTTCATTTTAAAATAAATTAAAATAGAAAACAGTAATTTAATATTGTAATATTATTTTATAATATTACAGTTTTTACTGTATTTTTTTTAGCAAAGTTTCAAAGCAATTGTCAACCCTTCTATAGGGCTCTATTTTAACGATCTAAGCACATGGTCTAAAGTGCATGGCGCAGGTGCACTCAGGGCATGTCCGAATCCACTTTTGCTAGTTTAATGATGGGAAAAACGGGCAGCGAACCCGGGTGCATAGTCTAAACGTGTTGTCCCTATTCTCTTAATGAGTAATGGGTGTTTTTTGGGCGTAACGTGCAATAAACCAATCAGAGTCTCATCTCCAATCCCCTTTAAAAGCCAGTTGCGCTCGCACCATGGCAGGTTCGCTATTTACATGGCGGAATGTAATTTTTCATTTTTTAAAATGTTTGTGTGCTGCTGCGCGTCCCTGTGTGTGTAATAAGCAAAGTGTATGCGGGTTGTGCACCTGCCTATAGGGGCATATTACTAAAGTGCTCTTTAAATAACAAAGAAATAATTCTACTTTCAGTTTCTCAAAATAGCAACACGCCAACAATGCATCTAGAAATCATGGATAGTTCACTCCAAAATTAAAGTTTTAATCTACTCATTTACAGTAACTCGAACCCCATATTTTTACTAAAAACAATAACTTACATTTTGGTCAGTTCCTCATACAAATCTATCATCTTAAAACACTAGGAATATAGTGTACAAGTAATATAGACTACTTTTATTGTCTTTTTTGGAGCTTGACAATCTTCCAGCACTATTCACTTTTGTTGTATAGAAAAGAACACGTTGGACATTCAACTAAATACCCCCTTTTGTGTTCCTCAGAAGATAAAAAAAAATAATGTGGTATTGAACAACTTTAGGTGAGTAAATGATGAAGTTTCTTTAAGGGATGTCCATTAGCAGCAGTATTTACCTGTAATGTTGTGTCTGGCAGTTTGAGGAAACTTCCATTCTTCTACCTGTACGGACGGGCAGCTGACACCTGTAGAAACAGAGAAGCAGTCAAGTTGAAGCAGATCTCTGTCCTGCCACCGGTGAAAGGTTTAGCATAAAACAACTTGTACAACCGATCACGAGGAGTCCTGCCAAAACTTGGTCCTGAACATGAGGTGAACAAGCTGAGGCGATCAAAGATTGTCTGAGGGGTGACAGACAGCGTCTAAGATATACATGGAGCTAAAAATAGCATGCTCTTGTTTGGAAGAATCACTCTCCCAATCTCACTGCCTGGTGGCAAAGACAATGTCAAGTGGTCTGACACATTCTCGACTGATGGACGACATATGAAAAAGACCTAACTTTAAAAAAGTTCAGCCAAAGTACATCCTACGGTATAGTACATCCTGTTGAATTCAATCTTTTTTGGCCCACTTGGTGCCCTGGGTGTGTGTGTGTTTGTGTGTGTATGCATGCATAAATATATTCATAATAGAAATAAATATTTTTTTTAAATAAACAAAGAAAATCTGATTTTGACAGCAAATGATCACCATCCATTTTCACTGTTAAGTCATAACTTTTTTGTACACACCTACTGTACAACTTGATGTAAACAACTTTGTGTGATGTTGCATTTAAAATCCATTCTTTATGATTCTGTACATGTCTTTCCATGCCTTTTTTCATGATCCACAAACACTGAAAAGTTCAGTTTAGGACAAGGCATTGTGTGGGAAATCCATTCTTTATGATTCTGTACATGTCTTTCCATGCCTTTTTTCATGATCCACAAACACTGAAAAGTTTAGATTAGGACAAGGCATTTCAAAAAGAAGAGCTTTTCTTTGTGAAGAAGCATGTCAAAGGTGCCTGAGACAAGAAGAGTTTTTAATCAGCATGGTTTGACTGGTTCAAAGACATGTACATCAATCAATGTGCATTAGCAAGTTACTGCTGTGTAGCGAATCTGTCACTTAGATGTTTCAGAGATCAGATGAGTATGAGAAACTCAAGCAATAACAGAGAGAAGCAGCTCAGAGCCGTATCGTTGAGCTTCTAGTGGCGGAGGAGCTGGTGATGGCTTTTCTAACTCGTATTCTTCCCCTGTCAAGTTACAAAGAGCTCTTTTTAACCCTTGTGCGCTCCTCATTTGGGAGTCACACTCATGGCCTTCGCGGTCAAAAGTGACCGGACACCTGAAAGATAATTTTTTTTTTCTTCAGTAAAATAAATCTAATATATTTTTGTTAAACAATATTTTTCTTTATTCTTTATTATTTTGTATTTTGAGAAAATTTTATGGTACTAATTAATATTTCTGCAATAATTATGATACATTTTTCCCATTGAAAATAGTACAAATTGTTTTCTTTCTAATTGTTTACAATAATTTTTCAATTAATGCAGTATTTCAGATTAAAATAGAGACTAGGCCTTTAAAATCCAATGTTTGAAGGCAGAATAGCACCTCCTGGTGAGAGCAAAAAAAAAAGAAAAACCTGTAATTTCATGGTGTAACCACTAGATTCCTGTATAAGACTCTATAGAGAGGCTTGTGAAATCCCTAGTTGTTTTTATACATAACTTTTATTAGGTTGTGGATTTAAATAAAGGCATTCTCAATAATTACTTTATGTCAAGGTTTATATTCTTTGTTGTTTTAAATGTTGATTTGAAGTGTAGGTTTTTGCAAATTATTACTACATTCAAACCTGGACACAGAAAGCATTTTGTTACACAAAACATTAAAATTATATAAAAATGTAATAAAAATCAACAGGAATACTTTATCAGAGCTTAATCTGATTTTAACCTCTTATTTCAGTCTTTTAACTCATTTTGGCTATATGGTTATAGCCATACCAATTAATGTAAAGTATGTATAATGCTGTATGCTGTCTGTGAGTGTGTGCAAGTAAGTGTGTGTGAGTGGATGTATCTGTTTGATGTTTTAGAGTGTAACCCCTTCCTTGCTGTCCACTTTTTTACTACATTGTAGTTGAATTTTTTTTGTGTTCACATACCAAGTGCCATAAAAGTCACCAAGTTTTGTACCATTCTGGTGAAGCTACGATTTTTAAAAATTCAAAATGCAAAATTCTCCACTCAGAAGTGACCGAAGACCGCAATCTACAACACCTGAATCTCTCCACAGCTAACTCAGCACATACAGATAGGGAGGAAATGTCTCCAACAAAAACTTCTCTGACAGATAAAGAATTCATTTTGAATTGTTCTCGCATTTTCACTTTTTGAAATCAGACAGACTCGGCTAAATCCCTTTTCTTCCCGGTTCTACAAAGCCCCACTGCTTTCACACGGCAAACAGGCGGGATTAAGATGTGGAGATGTCAGGGAGAAGATAGAAAAGCTGGAGGCGGCTCTCGCTCCCGAGGCAATGATGGAAAGTTGAATGCAAGGGGAGGAGAGGTGCATTTCAGACGCATGGAGAACAGACACGTCATCAAGCAATGCAGACAGTGCTAGAGTTTGAAGTGGAGTGAAGATTTATGGGGTTTAGGATTTCATAGGTTAAGATTCAGCATTCTTTTAATTTAGAGATACGTACCTGTACGGGTTGCTTCACCAGACACTGTTAGACACTTTTAAGGTTCTTAGAAATAAAAAGTCCTTGCCAGAAGAATGAAACATCCATTTTAAAAAAGGGTAGAAGAAAAAAAGTTGGAAGAAAAGATGGAGAAAATACGTCTCCTCATTAACATTATCTCAAAAGCTCATGAATGTGAAACACTGCATCCTACTCTTGTTCAGAATCACTCACGCAGCCTCTGCTCTATTTGTCCCTGATTGCATATTGTTTATTGTATATTTTTAGGTCTCAGAGTTGGCCTGGAGAAACTCATTAAGGAGAAAGTCAATTGGGGATTTGAACAGCTGGGCGTGAGAAAAGTCATCCTAGAGATCTGACATCAACCCAATGAAACACAAACCCAGGAAAATTGGAGGTGGCTGAATATATGAAAAGGTTTTGTGGGGGTTAGTTTGTTAGCTTGTTCAATCATCCATCACTTCTGAGCACAATTTTACATGGTGATGAAATGGCAAATGGTGCAGTCAGAACAGAATTGCACAAGAAAGAAGTCATATAAAAGTCACATAAAAATGTCTGAATATAATATTTCTGAACATGCATGAAGTAAGCACTTAGCGTTAGTTTTGATTTCATGTAGACTTTAACAATGACCGAATGTGGTTTGATGGAATTCATCAATTAAATCTCATTCTTAACTGACTGTAGAATGTCTGAAAAGAGGTTTAGCCATAGCAGTATAATCATACTATTAAACTATGCAACTATTTTTGTTATAAGAAGCACTAATGGGAACAGGGTTTATATGCTCACATTTCAGTAGAAGAGTGGCTACATTCAGTCAGACTTGCATTATTATAATAAGATAAAACAACATTATTATATAATATAATAAAAGACTGGAAGTCTTGACATTTCTCACTCCTGCCTTAAAGCCCTCAGAGACTCAGCTTGAGAAGCGTCTAACAAGCAAAGGCGCAAAAACAGCATAAAAGATCTAAAAGTATAAAGTGATGAATGATAGCGGACAAGTCCTTACAAAGTTTCTTTAAAGTCCTTACAAAGCCTCTAAACAAGCAAAGCTTCACATGTTTCCCAAAATTAATAGAGCACGAGTCAGTCTTGTATGAAGCCTTTAGCCAGTAGTTCCAGTATGATGGCCTTCAAAACATCTGAAACTTCATTAAAAAGAGCCTAATTACAATGAGAATACAAAATGCAATTCAAAAATAAAAAGAAATTCCTCAATGTCTTGTCTCACTGCAATACTGTCGGGACCCCCCTCCCCCCTTACTACTGACTCAGTTCTGCTGTATGAGAAAGTAAGGAGGAAAGATGGAAAGGTCCCAAATTTTCATAACCATATTTTTGGAACACAGCCCTGGCAGTCTAGAGGACAAGGCATGGCATCACTCTTTAAAAGTTGAGCCATTTTCCACAGTTCCTTGTTCTTTTAGGATTTGTATCCCCCCTTTTTATTTTAAGTATACCAGACCTTATATATAAGTACACCATTTGAAAGGAATTTGTAAGAGAAGAAGCAATGATTACTTTGGGTTAATTCAAATTTGGCTAGTCGTCTACTGTATGTACAGATCCTATACATTCAGCACACAGCAGATGTATTCACAGAAGGCTTCACTAAAGAGTGAATTCAGCTAACCAATGATATGTAGTCAGCATTCAGATTAGTTTGGAAGATAAAGGTGCTTCAAAAGGTTCTTCAAGCGATGCCATAGAAGAACCATTTTTGGTTCCACAAAGAACCATTCAGTCAAAGGTTCTTTAAAGAACCATCTCTTTCTTACCTTTTTGTAATCCGAAGAACCTTCTTTCACCACAAATAACCTTTTGTGAAGCAGAAAGGTTCTTCAGATGTTAAAGGTTCTTTCTGGAACCATTTAGACAAAAAGGTTCTTCTATGGCATCGCGAAGCACCTTTATTTTTAAGAGTGTAGTCACTCTTGCAATTATGATGCTGGCTTTCAAGCTTCAATATGCAAAAATACAACAAAGCATTATAAAAGTGGCCCTACAACTTATATTTCAAATCTTCTGAAGCCATGATAGTGAACAATTATTAATATTGACATCTGCTTGTTAGGCGAGTTCTTAAGAGAAGCAGGGACACATGCATTTTCAGTGAATCTCTGGTTCACAAACCAATCTGAATGCTTTGTCCATGAATCAAATCATCTGTTTCTGAAACAAAACTTTGGTTTGATTTGAAAGGACTTGGAATATAGTTCACAAGCTGAATTAAACACTTTTATGGTGCTTTCGAAGCATATTGCTTTCTGAAGCTTGAAAGTGTCAGTCTCCATGGGGACTAACAATAAGGGCCAAAACATTTCTTCAAAATCTCTCCTTTTATATTCCATAGATGGAAAAAAAAATCCTATGGGTTTAGAATGACATGAGGATGACTAAATGATGACAGCATTTTCATTTTTGGCTGAACAACCCCTTTAACTATTCTTTAAATATTCATAATGTTATGTTGGCAGTTGTATGAATTAAACATACATAATCTTAGCTGTTTGATCTAGCCTTTGACAAAGTCATCCTTTGATTTGGAGAAAAGGCCTTACCTTCAACTGATGCCAGTTGACCCCCGTGACCCAAGCAGATGGTGAGAAGCACCAGAGAGGAGCAGATGACCCTCATGACTCCCTCCTTCAGCTCCTAGCCATGATTAAAAAGAATAAGTGAACAGGTGAGAAGGAAATTACTTAAGCAGACCGAGACAAACTTAAATAATCAGGAGACACGTGTGTTAAGAAATATTGTAATAAGCTCATTCTCAGTGGTACACCTTATGACACATTGCCATTTTTTAATATTTAATACCATAAGTCTGCAATAAAAGAGCTTCTAAATAATTGCCGGAAAGTGTCAAAAAGCATGTGGGAGCAGTCATAATCAATACAGCGGTTAAAAGCCAGATTAATAATGATGCCTATTAGGTTGGATGGGTGCTTTTTTAGAGTATAAATTATGCTAATGATCCAAAGAATTTCCAATAAAGCTTTGTAACCCATGACATTTGACGATTATCATTACTGTGTCCATCTGTCCCTCTCAGTAACAGCAACACAATGGTTCAGCACAATGAACGCTGAATATGTGCTATATACTGCCTATGTGTATGCATATATATATATATATATATATATATATGTGTGTGTGTGTGTGTGTGTGTGTGTGTGCGTGTGTGTGAAACAGAAGCCATTATCCACTATAAATGTGCATGAACTCATCTGTTTCATGTTTAATTCTTTCAAGTGGCAACCAGTTTTCATGTTGGAAATAAAAATGGTTAATTTGCATTTTTAATACCATTTTGTGTAAAAATCTAATAAATGAGTCAAGAGAGACACGTTAAAATGTGCAGCTGATATTAAAAGTAGAACATACTGCATTGTGGGATACAGTATACATCAAATCATCCAAGTATTTTATGCACAAGAAAATCTGCATGTTATGCAGAGTACACTACAAGCTTAGGGCTTGGTAAGACTTTTAAAATGTTTTTGACATTAGTTTTGCATGCTCACCAAGGATGCATTTATTTGATTAGAAATACAGTAAAACAGTAATATTGTGTAATATTATTACAATTTAAAACAACTCTTTTCTATTATAATATTTTTTAAATATAATTTATTATTGTGATGCAAAGCTTCATTTTCAGCATTATTACCCCAGTCTTCAGTGTCATGTGACATGATCCTTCAGAAATCATTCTAATATGCTGATCTGAAGCTCAAGAATTGTTATTATCAATGTTGAAAACAGCTCCTTAATATTTTAACATATTTTTCAGGATTCTTTGATGAATAAAGCATTCAAAAGGACAGTATCATGTTTTACTATCACTTTTACTATCAATTTAATGCACCCTTGCTAATCAAAAATATTAATTGCTTAAAAAAAAAAAAAACGTACTAACTCCAATCTTATGAATTGTAGTGTACAGACACTGAGAGTAGTAAGGAATAATATCATACAGAATAACAAAATAGCTGATACAGGATGCTAAAAACACAAACAAACAAAACAAAACAAAAAATATTTCCTTGCCATAAAATAAAAGAGCCTTTAACATTTAACTGCTTGTAACAAAGAAATGCAACCAAATGTCTCAGATATAGTTACATGTGTTCACAGAAACAACCCCACCTCACTCCCATTTACAGACATGCTGCTTGCTCAAAGTAACCCTCACTGGCATGTCTGGACATGAACCTGTCAGGGTGATGCATTAGTCAGAAAGCCCGAGGGGGGAAGGTCTTCTCCTCTTCCTTTTATGGCTTTCTTGTAAATTTCAGCCCGTTGGTGATGTTTGTGTGGGCAACACCTAATCTGCATCCTCCGACTGAGGTCATACAACCTGCAGGCTCTGTACCAGTTGAGACACAAAAAGTGAAGGTGTCATGTGAAATAACACCACCCCAGATTATACGCTATCCCCTGAAGATGAGAAACGTTCTACCTTCTCTTACCGGCCGTCCACACATCTGTTTGAATCATTCCGATTCAGTTATTTACAAAGCTCTAGCTTGCTTCTCACTGCAAAATCAACTGTGTTCTTGTAAATAAGACAACATCCATTTCAGGTGAGCGAGGCGGAGATACTCCATTACCTGTATTCAATGCCTCTGGGCAATTTCTCATTACCATTCGCTTCCACGCACAGAAAAAGGAATGGAAATTAAAGCTTGTGCTTGTTTTGTTCCCTTTTCACTTTGTTTGCCGTGCAGCGAGAACAGCTGGACCACGCAGATAAAGGAAAGAGTCTCTCTTGCGTTATGTCTTGGCTCAGTGCCTGGCAATCTGAAGTGAATGTCTATAGTCGAAATGACAAAAGCACTAGTTAGGGAACCAAGTATGTGGGTTACAAACGCAGCAGGGCGACAACAAGTGTTTCAATGAAAGATTTATAGTTACAATCAATGTATGCTTGCGAAAACAATAATTCGGGGCCATCTAAAAGAATGGCTAAAAGCGACAATGTGTATTTTTAATAAACAATCACTTTAACTAGCTATTGTTAAAATGTCTACAGACATTTTTTTTTTTTGCAGACCGCTGACAGGAAGGAGGCTGTCAAGTAGTGTGTAGTTTTCATGTCAGAGTCTGGGAGCTCAGGGAAAGACTGAGCATTAAACTATCTCCCTCTCTCTCTCTTAAGAGCTGTGCAAACAAGCAACAAGCAGCATTTTTATGCCTATTTTACACATATAGTGCTGTCAGTTAATCACTGGGTTATAAACACCTCTTAAAATCACTATTTTGGGAATGCAGTGTGCTAAAAATGTCATTGGTGTGAAGGCCTATGATATGACATCATAAATAACCTAAAAAGTTAAATATAAAGTCAGCTGAACCTGGTGCATTAACCCAATTTTTCAGAAAGCACAGATCATTTAGTAACAGGAACCTGCGAGCTAGACACATCAAACAAACAGAGAGCAATCCAGAGAGATGTATAATTGGGTCTGTGGCATTTGTAATCATGTCTGCAGCACTGTTTAACCTTCAATTACAGCTGTTTTGCAATCATTCTCTTCCAAAGGAGCATTTATCTTTACATTTTTTATTTTTTGCAGCATCTTTCTTCTCACTCAAGGCAGAGACTGGATCTGGTTTGCTTGAAGCTTGGTTTATGAAACTCAACCTAATTATTGATGGGTATGTGTGGTAAATCTGGCAAATGGGAATGTTGCAAACGTCTCTTCACCTCGTGTCCCCCTGCATTAGCAGCATGGTTTTATCATCAGATAGAGCATGCATTTTTCCCACTCCCACAGGCTGAGTTTTAAAAAATCCCTGTGTATACCCTAGTGTGTACTGAAAAAGGATTAGAAAGAGATCATGAATGAACTATGGTCTGTATTAAATTTAAAAGTACATTGCCAGGGGGGTTACATGAAAGAACTGCCCTTTAAATTACACTTTGAAAGTTTACTGACAAGCAAAATTTGCAATGCAAAAAGTAGGTGGGTTACCACAAACCAAAGTGATATGCGTCACATCAAAACTGTTAATGACAACTGCACTTAAATACTGTGTGAACAGCACATCTGAATGATGGGATGAATTAAATCGACTATGATATAGCCTATGCTAAAGAACAAAACTTTCTTATCATTTGCATCCCCACAAAGCATTAAACGCAGTATGCATACAGTAGGCCTACATTGACTAATAAATTATTTGCAAATTATATGGAATAGGCTGCAAATGTCATATTTCAATAAATAATAACTGATGAAAACCTAATCTATATCTCCAGGGAGTTTGCAAGGATCCTTAACGCTGTAAAGATTCCCGATATGTCAGAATCAAAAACACATAATTTTACCTTCAGTGATCGTTAATCCAATGAATTATGGCAACATTTAATCCACAGAAAACTGTTTTTAGTGTAATCCAGTTTGCTGAAAGAGCTTCCAAGTGTCCTCTCTAGCGTGGATAAAGTTTTTGCCTGGGAGTTCTCCTTCTCCAAATCCTTTCTTCTCCCCTCCCCTCCCCTCAGAGTTGTTTTAATAAATCCTGCTATGTTTGATTCCTCCTTTTTCAACTATGATTCCACGACTGAGGAACTTATCTGAGGTCACGCTAATGCAGACATCTGTGACTGAATACCAAAGGCAAAATATTACTGCCAGATTTTGATGGTTAATCATATGGTTAAACGGCAATGGGTCGTCTGGTCCTTGTTTTTAATATCTTACACTTACAAAAGTTCACTATGATAATAATAACTTCCTCCAAGAACATTGCCAGTGTCCAAATATGTATACTTACTGTATGTTTTAAAAAAAGCAGTATGTCAAATGATCATGATGTCTGAATACACAATACTGATGAAACAATAGTACTGTAACGAATCAGCTCATGTGAAATATGAATAATTAACCACAACTAGTTATAATTAATTATGAATATTTTAGATCCGCTGTAGATATTTAGCTGACCTCTCAGGGTCAACTGTCTTGTCAATTCCAAGAACGTTAATTTCCTGGTTAAGGGAAATAACTTTCTTACTGTACAATTCTACAAAGCTTGTAGCGTAAATCTGCATGATTAGTGACTCCGGTTATGAGCAAACAATGAACACGTCAAGTGTGATACAAGTAAGGTTTTATTAACTACATAAACACTTAAACTAGTCTAACAGACTACATAAACACATAAACTGGTCTAACATCCTACATACACATATAAACTGGTCTAACAACTTGGGAAGTTGTGGCCTAATGGTTAGAGAGTCGGACTCGGTTGTGGGTTCAAGTCTCGTACCGGCAGGGATTGTAGGTGGTGGGAGTGAATGTACAGCGCTCTCTCCCACCTTCAATACCACAACTGAGGTGCCCTTGAGCAAGGAGTTCCTTGAGCAAGGCACCGAACCCCCAACTGCTCCCCGGGCGCCACAGCATAAATGGCTGCCCACTGCTCCGGGTGTGTGTTCACGAAACCAGGCTCAGTCGGGGGGCCAGTTCTCCTCTGACCAGATGAACCAGCAGAACGGAAAAATCAATATAAGACGTAAGGTTAGGTGAGGGGGCGTTAGATATTATTTGTTAAATATAACAAAAAGTTGTGTGTCTGATTGGTCCAAATGCTACAGCACACATAGGCCTACGTCTGCAAGATGTCTGTTAAAGATCATTAAAAATATTTAAACAATCTGGAAAGCATCTGCTGTGTACAAACATCTGATAGAAGTTTTTAAGATGACAGTTTTACATACATTCTAAATCATAAACACATAAAGACATTTTCTAAATGTCTATTCGACTTCTGATAGGAAACGTATTGCAGATGAGCAAACACACTAAAAAATACATCTTGCAGACATCAAACAGACATCTCTGTGATGTGCGTGTGCTATCAGGCGAACAATACCTGGAATACATGCTGTATCCACTTTAAAGCGTCCAACCACTTTGCTTTCTCACCATGCCACGGGAACTGAAGATCCTTCAGATTCAAAAAGTAAAATAAATAAATAAATAAAAATGCATGCTCTTTGGCTGTTAAAACAGTTTACAGCGAAATCTGTTTGCTGAAAGTTTTTAGATGCACAATTCTCAAAAATAAAGGTCCCAAAAGAAGATGCCATAGAAGAACCATTTGGAGTTCCTAAAAGTACCTTTCAGTGAACAGTTCTTAAAAGAATCATTGTTTCTTATTGTAAAGAACATTTTTAATAATCTAAATAACTTTTTTCCACTATTAAGAGCATTATGTGGAATTAAAGGCTCCATGAATATTAAAGTTTATTTGTGGAACCATCAATGCCAATAAAGAACCTTTATTTTTAAGAGTGAAGGGTAACATGTATGGGACAATAATAGGCAAGCAACAGTAACATTCAAAATTATTTGGAAATATGAATCTATTACAGCCCCAAACAAGAATGCTTCACAACAATCATAACATTTCTCATTGAAAATGAATTGTGAGCAGCTCCATATGTTGTACTAGACCACTCACTTCAGCCTTTATCCGCCTACCCATGGAACAAGTTTCTTCACCTGATAGAAGCCAAAAATAGAAAAGGGGTGTGGTCAGGGCTGGATTGGTAATCGGGCATACCAGGCATTTTCCCGGTGGGCCGACGCACTTAAGGGGCCGACAAAATGTTTTTTTTTTTGCCAAGGACCATCACGCAGGGACAGCGAGCAGCCAGTGGCCCATTGGATTGTCTCCTGTATAGACAGCGTAGACCATCCAATCACAATGCACTATAGACGGAGCGATGAAGTATTTTGCTCTGCCTATATAAAGATCGTTTCACTCCAACTTCTTCCTCGTCGGCTTTTCCAAGGACAGGCTTGCTCTGCGGTGAGTGATGCTGGCCAAAGAGCCAGGCAGGAGGAGAAGAAGAGAGTAGTTGAATCGGTAAAGTGCTTGATAGGGACTCGCAACAGAGGCAGACATCTAACCTATCCTAATGTGTGTGCGCGCCATGAGTGTAGAATATGTACTTTTTAATCAAATGTAAATTCATCCCCCGCACTTTTTTAGTCAAGTCAAGAGTGTTCATAGAGGTTTCCATGGGCCAATGTGAATAAATCTAGATTTAAATTAAAAAAGACACGATATTGTCGAACCTGACGTTTTATTATTATCCAAAACAACTAGATGTGATATGAGTGTGATACATACAGTCAAAAGTTTTTGAACAGTAATATTTTTGTATGTTTTTTAAAGAAGTCTTTTCTCACCAAACCTGCATTTATTTGATCCAAAATACAGAAAAAGCAGTAATATTGTGAATTATTTTTACTATTTAAAACAACTGCTTTCTATTTAGATATATATTAAAATGTAATTTCTCATGAGGCTTTTGTCATCTGCTCCAGGTTTTTTTTGTTTGTTTGTTTGTTTTTGCATGAAGAGCATAACCTTTGACTGAACCCGCTCATCTATATCTTAACAATGACTTAGTTCTCCCAGAGTTCAAGGCATTTTGAAAAACAGGATGCTAGCGGCTGCATAGCTGCAGCAGTGATGGGAACATCTGGAAAAAAGGTGCCTGACTATCCTCATGTGCCTCAAGTCTTCCAGACCATAGCAAATATAAGCTATGCAGTCCAAAATCTAGAAATCAGGATGTAACAGAGCATTGGACTGGAGACGTCCATAATGTGGTTGGGTCCCAGTGAGTGAGAAGTGCCAGATATGAAATACTAATGCTGCAGCATTGTGTTTCTGTGTTATCCTCACCACATGAAGTCCAACGTCCCCCTCTGTGATTTTGCTGTGCTGTTTGGAACAATGATGGACAATCTTGATGCCATCTTGTAAAATATAGATGAGATGATGTAAGCAATGTTGTAAAAAACACACCCAGGGGAATGCAAACAAACAGCAGTGGTGCTGGAGCCCAGCCGAATCGTGTTTCATCTGCAGTTAGACCATTAAATAATATGACAGAGAGGACTGACATTCATATTCAGTCAGGGTTCTACATATCAGAGTTTTTATGATTCCCTGTCTGGCTTTGGCACCGGCTTCCAGCCACGTTCTGTAAAGCAGCAGAGAATAATGCAGGAATAGCTTCCCTCACAGAGGACCCTATGCACGAGAAGGCTTCAAAAACATCCAGACTTGCTTAAAATATTTGTAGAACATATTTGTGGGTAGAACGGTGTAGTTATGATTAAATTAATATCTGATAACCATCTTAAAACACTGGATGCTTGCATTATATGTAATGCTTTTGAATGGTAATGTATTATTTTTTATCTTTTATTTCTTCTCATCAATCGAGATGAGACTACCCATTCTGCACAAATATGAAACTCTGCCTATGTTTGTAAATCTAGTCAGAAATCTAGTCAGATTTTGTTGATCTTTCAAATGGATCCATGAAATTTTACTTGAATGAGAAAAGTAATTGGATAAAAAAAGGGTCAGGCACAAATTACTCAACAAGTGGTTTGATGGCAGTATTCCAGATTGATAGGCGTTACCATTTCTGCGTGATGATCTCTAACATTTTCAGAAGTTTGTGAAATCTTTTGTGACAGAATATAGTCATTTGGTCTGACTGTGGCTAATCAACTTTCAGTGAAGAGGAATGAGGAATGTCCTTTTCCGCTTGCCCATAAAGCCTAGGGCACACCGTAAGACTGAAGATAGTCTGCGTTACTACTGGGCTGGGAATTCCTGAATATGAATTCTGGGAGCAAACTTAAGGAAGCCACATTAAACAGTCTTAACTACAATAATGTTTGCCTAGAAAAATAAGGTTCTTTAAAAAGTGTGAATGAAAGTCTTATCTTAAACAAATCTTGATGATTGAAAGTTGTATAGGCATTACAGCCAGCCAGACAGACAGAAAGAACTGTTTGAAAGGTCATCTATAGAAAGTTGCATTTAATTTGTATTAATTTACATTTAACACATTTGTAGTTCATCAATTGCATGTTGAATTTCTCCGAGTTGTAATTTAGTAAACTGCTAGTCCTGCAGGGTCAATTCAAATTCACATTCTAGTCGGAGCACATCTCAAAAGTGGGCACAATAAAAGAGCATCATGATGGGGACTTTTTGACGCAGACTAGTCACTGACTTGAACATCAAAGGTGACAAGCTTGAGTCTTGCAGTGTGCACTTGGCCATTCTGCTAAAAGCTTAGACTCAATTTTTGTGTGTGTGTGTGTAATAGAGCAGTATTAATGTTTATTAAACTCCTGCTGCCCCATCTGTCTCTTCTCAATGCTTCAGATTCTTTTCCCCATCTCAAACTTGTGTTCTTCACTCAGCAAAGTCAATTTAAAGTAATACGGCCTGGTAGTCTTTTTTCTTTCTTTCTCTCTTTTTTTTTGTCATTAAATTTCCTTTCCATACAGTTTTGCACTCTTAAGAGCTTGAGGGATGGGGGAGCCATTGATTAGCAAGGGCATCATGATATATATATATATATATAAATGCCCTTGGTGGATTCTCAAATAGCATCACACAGAGAAGTCAATGCTCAAGGACTGGGCACAT